GGTTAAATAGTATAAAAAAGAAACAGTTCCTCTGAAGTTACTTAATGTCAAAGAGAACTTTGAGAAAACTTTCAAGGAAGAAAAAGGCAAAAACTCGTTTATGCGTGAACCAGAATTTTGTTGGGTTGACTGTGCAGTCAGTGCTCATCTCAACGTGTGAATTGTGACAATTGGGTCCTTGGTTTGGAAGGGTTCAAAGAGCTTCTTTCCACACGGCAGGATTTTCCCATGTGAGGGGGAACTAGTCAGTCTGGTAGCTTTTCTTGGTTTCAGTTCCAAAGTGGTGGTAACTTCACTCTTGTGGTCAGGCTTTCCTCATTAGAAATGCTGCCTCCATTTGGCTTTTAACCGGGTCCTCGTGAGGTGGGTCATGCCAGTAGATATCACTGTTCCCATTTCAGAGGAAATGAAGGCCTGCAGGCATCTGGGCCTATGCCAGGAGCTGGGACAGGAGCCAAGGCTCCAGTGATGAGAGGGCTCCATAAGTGCCATTTAGTTGCCCTTTAATTCAATTAGTCCCAGAAATGTTGTTTGGGGGCTTGCATTTATGTCCTTGATCTGATCAAGTGGAAGCTGTGGATCTGCTCAAGATGGTCTTGCTGCTCACCCAAAGTAAGGACATGGATCCATGTATCTCCTGAGGCCTCCTTCAATTATTTCATTCTATTTATTTATGTGTGCATTTAAAATAAACAAGTTCTGTGGTTTTGGAACCTTGCAGATGGGGGATCTGCTAATTACTCAATGCGTGACCTTGTAAGATCACTTAATATGCCTCATAGTTGGTTCCTTCATCTATAAAATGGGGTTGCTGTGATGATTACATAGGGTAAGGGACACAAACCACTTAGCATTATGCATGAGCAGCCCACATTCAAACTATGGTTAGTCATCTCAGTTCTATCTTCAAAACATCCTGTATCTAGAATTTAACCCCTTGCACCTACCACCTCTGTCAAAGACACCACTGTCCCATATGTATTATAGTAATAGGATCTGTCTAAAGCCTGTTCCTACCCCCACGTTCTGCACTTTATTGTCAACATAGGGGCCAGAGTGATTCTTTTAAAATGCAAGTTGGATCACAGATAACTCTACCCAAGTCCCCAGTGACTTCCTATCCTCCCAAACCCAAAGTCCTCACTGTTGACCACAGAGTTCTCCGCATGTGGCTAAAGGCCTCTGCCATAGTTTCTCCTTCCACTTCCCTCTTGCTCTGTTCCAGCTATTTTGTCTTTCTTGCTGTTCTTCAAGCAGAGCATGTCCCCGCCTCAGTCTCTTTGCACTTAATGTTCCCTCTTCCTGGAAAAAACTTGCCCTTAGATTTACCATTAGGTTCTCTCCCTCACTTCTTTTGAGCTTCTACTCAAATATTACTTTATGCATTACCTTTCCAACCTCTTATATATTGATGTGTGATGCATATATTAATTTCATATTCATTCAAGCAATAGAGGCTCTATAAATATTTATATGGTTAATAAATTGTAACAAAAGAAAAGCCAACATTTACTGAAGTCTTGCTACGTGCCATTAATTTTGCTTTTGGCAATCTATCTTCTTGGTGTACTCTGTCATCTGCTAGAGATCTTAGCTCATATGATGACTCCAACAAATCTTCCTTGATCAGTCAAGCCAGAAGTGATTCTTCACTCCTGTGTATTCCCTCAGTGAACAAGGGGATTCACTGTCCCCTTGTGTTGCAGATTTTTTTTTAAATAAGTATCTTAAATATAATAAGATCTTTGATGGCAAAGACCATATCCAGTGCAATTTTATGTAATGCACAATTTGTAGGGCAGCCTCTCAATTTATAATTCACTTTAGATATTTAGGAAAAGTTACTTATGCTCTTTCAAGTTCTAGAAATGAACTCTCACTGCTGGATGAGTGTTATTTGGGATTGTAGATTTCAGAACCTGAAATCTCAGAGTTAATGAGTTCAAGGCAAAACCAGGTAGAAGAGAAACATGAAAACATAAAGCTACAAAAGTCAAATACATCATTAAAAGGCTATATGAATATAAGATTGAATTGTGTAACTATCACTATGGGTCCATGGCCCCATGTCAGTAAATATGACAAACGACATGTTTATAAAGCTTTGGTAAGAAGTGATTATCATTTCTTCTAAATTTTCTAGGGTAATTATTTTATTATTGGGGTATAATTGCTTTACAATGTTGTGTTAGCGTCTGCTGTCCATCAGAGGGAATCAGCTATATGTGTACATACATCCCCTGCCTCTAGAGCCTCCCCCTCCCCGCTCCACCCCTGTAGGTCATCAGAGCACGGAGCTGAGCTTGCTCTACTATGGAGCAGCTTCGCCCAGCTGTCTGTTTCACACGTGGCAGTGTGTATATGGCAACGCCACTCCCCGATTCGTCCCACACTCCCCTTCTCCGCTTGTGTCCATGTGTTTGTTCTCTACATCTACATCTCTGTCACACAATGGAATATTACTTAGTCATAAAAGGAATGAAGTTGGATCATTTGTAGTGATGTGGATGGAACTAGAGTCTGCCATACGGAGGGAAGTCAGAGAAATACAAATATCATTTCTTAATGCATATACACACACACACACACACATATATATAAACTAGAAAAATGGTACAGATGAACTTATTTGCAGGGCAGGAATAGAGACACAGACGTGGAGAATCCTTTATTTCTTTATTTTCTCTGTGCTTTCATTAACGACATCCTAGAAAAATTAGTATTAGAATATCTTTTCCTACATTGCAGGGAAGACTTCTGGAGAAAATAGTTTCTCTTCTGAGCTTTCACAGTAGCTCTATATTGAGGTAATTTTTTATGGTTATGGTATTTTCAGTGTGACTTTCTCGTATGGAAAAGCCTCAGGCATTGAGTGAAGTTTTTTTTCACTTAATCCTTAGAACAGCCCTATGAGGCAGGCATTAGTATGATCACATCACTCTCATGCTTAAAACCTTCAAATGGCTTTCCATTTCACTTACAGGAGACTTAATCTCTTACTGTGGTCGCAGGAGCCACCCCGCCAGGCCTCTGCTCACTTATTCCTTTCATCTCTTACCCACCTTATTCCACATTATGTGCAGCAGTTCCATCTGTCCTTGAACATGCCATGCCGAGCCAAGCTGCTTCCTGCCTTGGGGCCTTTGCACCTGCTGTTCCTTCTTCCTGGAATGCTCTGTAATCAGATCTTTCAATGACTGCTCTTTGTCCTCATTAAACCTCAACTCAAAATTTAGCTTCTCAGATATACACATAACAGTAAAAACAACAAAAACAACAACAAAACACCTTCTGTATGGGGTTGTCAGATTTAAAAATAAAAATACAAAACAAGCAATTTCTGATAAACAACAAATAGTCTTTTAGTAAGTCTTAAGCAGTGTTTGGGACTCACGGATACTCAAACATTATTCATACATCATTTATTTGAAATTCAAATTTCATTTGGTGTCCTGCAATTGATCTGGCAACCCCACCTCCACAGCCACTTCGTTATGGTGCCCCGTTTTATTTTCTCCATGGGACTTTTCACTTTTAGAAATTGTTTGATTTCCCACTGGAAGATAGGCTGCATGAGGATGGAACCCTGTTGGCCTTGTTCACAGCTGCATCCTCGGAGCCTGTCATATTGCTTGAAATATAGTAGGTGCTCAATAAATATTTGCTATAAAGGTAAGCAAATAGAAAAAGAAAAACCTTAAAGCGGTGGGTAACACATCCAGGGCATACTGCTAGCTAGAGGAGATTGGAATTAGGCATTACGGTGCGAGGGCTCTTGTGGGTTTCCCACATTTTGCGGTGTGGAAGGGATCCTGTGTCATCTACTCTCTCAGGAGATTCAGAAGACCCTCGGAGCAGTAGATTTTGGAAGAAACCAAGGCTGTAGGAGCCTTTCCCATTTGCTTTGTAAGTAACGAAAGGAAAACGCACTTGAGTGAAAAGAACAAGATACTCTGCGTTTGGAATGGAATGAGAGGCAGTGCGCATCCTTCACGTCCTGGGACACGGGTAAACTCCCTGCAACTTTAGGGCTTGCTTTAATGTCAGACTCCCCCGGAACCTCTAGATCCTGATCGCAGGAGAAACTAAAGGCACAAGCAAAGAGCGGGGAGGGGAGGATGGGGATGAAGTCAAGACAGAAGAAATCAAACTCTGGTCCTGGACCTAGGGCGTACAGCGGGGCGGGGCAGCGGCGTTCAGCCTCAGGACTCGGGAGGGTTCACCTCTCGGTGTGGACACTGGATGCTCCGCAGGACCCACGGAAGGCGCATGATTCCCACCCTGGCTCGCTTCATCGAACGGCCTGAGATGATGGCTGGAGGGCGCGTCTAGCTGCCGGCCCAGAGCTAGCTGCGTGGGTACCTAACCGTGGCCGGCTCCCGGGGAGCAAGCTGGCTCGGGTCCCTAACCAACTCCGCCCGGCTCTCGTCTCACTCGCCCTCCCACCCGGGAGCTGGAGGACGTCCCGGGCGGGCGCGCTGAGGACTCCCTGTAGCGTGAGTCGCCCGCGCGCCCCATTCCGGGGCAGCCGCCCCCGCCGCTGACAGGTGCTGCCCGGAGGGCGTCGGCTGCGGGGTCCCCTGGCGCGGCGGCTGGGAGCGCACGGCCGAGCGCGCTTCGCTCCCCGAGCCCGGAGCCGGCGAGGAGAGGGGGCCAGGGCGCGGCCTGGGGGCGGACGGAAGGGGGACTCCAGTGGCCTGGAGCCCCGGCGCTCGGAACCACAAACTTTGCGGCGGCCACGATCTGGCCGCGGTGACAGCCCACCCCCACCGGTGCGCGAGGAGGCGGCGGCGGCGGCGGTGCCGGAATCCTGCTCCCGGAGAACCTCGGCGGCACGGGCAGCTTGCCCCCGCGCTGGCCCGAAGCCGCCGGTCACTCCCGGCTGGTGCTGCTGCGTCCGTCGCCGCCGCCGCCGCCGCGGGGCTCCGGGAGGAGGCGCAGCCCGAGAGGGCGGAGAAGAAGGAGGAGGAGGAGGGGAGAGGAGGAGCGCGGGGAGGAGGATGGAGCCCCGGGCGGCCGCGGCGGGCTCGCCCGAGCCGGCGGCGGCGGCGTCCTCCTCGTTCCAGGCCCGGCTCTGGAAGAACCTGCAGCTGGGGGTGGGCAAGAGCAAGGGCGGAGGGGGCGCGCGTGCGGGGGGCCCCGAGCGCCGCACTGCGGACACCCCGTCGCCCTCCCCGCCGCCCCCGGGGGGCCGGCGGGATGCCCCGGCCGGCTTGGGTGGCACGGGCAGCCGGTGGAGCGGCTTCAAGAAACGGAAGCAAGTGCTGGACCGCGTCTTCTCCTCCTCGCAGCCCAACCTGTGCTGCTCGTCGCCGGAGCCTCTGGAGCCCGGCAGCGCCGGCCGGGCCGAACCGGGGTCCACACTGCGCCGCCGGATCCGCGGGCATCTGCTTCCCGCGGGGAAGGGGCCGGGGGCCGCCGCCGCCGGAGCGACACCTCCCGGCGGACGCTCCCCGGACTCGGCTCCCTCTTCGTCCTCCGCCTCATCCTCGCTGTCCTCCTCGCCCCAGCCGCCCCCGAGGGGGGACCGCGCCCGGGATGAGGGCGCGCGGCGTCGGGGCACCGCGGCGCACTTGTGCCATCAGAAGAGTTCCTCGCTGCCGGGCACCGCCTGCTTGGAGCAGCTGCTGGAGCCGCCACCGCCGCCTCGCGCTGAGCCAGCCCCGAGCCCAGCGGAGCCGCGGACCTCGGATAAGGGCCCGGAGCTCGGCAGCAGCGGGGTGAGTGACAGGTGGGCGCGGCCCGAGCAGGGGCGCGCGGGGCCACGCCTCCGGCGGTGGGCGATCCGGACCCCGGGAGTGGCAGGGAGGGGGCGGGCAGGGGCCCTGCGGATCGAAGAGCGCGAGAGAAAAGTTCTGACTTGACTTTGGACAGAAAGAACACCTATTGCTAGAAGCTTGTTTGGGTCGCTTTCTCAGCTGCAGATGTAAGTGGAAGTATTAATGGTAGCCCAATAGGAGGGGACCCTGGGGAAGGAAATGGCAACACTCCGGGATTGTTGCCTGGGAAATCGCATGGACAGAGGAGCCCGGCGATCCACAGTCCATGGGGTAGCAAAGAGTTGGGCAGGACTGACCGACTAAGCACAGCACAGTAGGAGGAATAAGGTTAGACAGAAAATGCGCACTTTTTGGAGAGCCCCTTAAAGGATCTAGCTAAGTCTCATCTTGTCCAAAGAAAAGCAAGCACACCCAACACACTTGCAGGGAAAATTAGAAATGCGAAGAGGCGACTTGATGGCAAACGTGAGGTCATGTCTTGGGGAAACCCTTTAAACAGAAGTCTTCATCTTCCCGCCCTCCCTTCTCAAAACTTCCTGCTGCGAGTGGATCGCTTCTAACAAGTGGATAGCGTGTCTCTTCCGAGTTAGTCACACAGGTGTTCCTATGGCCTTTTCTGGTTTATAATCATCTAAAGTAGTTGCGTTCAAAATATAAAAATCTGTAAAACGGTCCATTGGGCTGTGGCTTTTACTCCCTCGGTTTTGTAGAGGGGGTGTTCGCCTTTTGTAAATGTTTAGCAAATCGTGGTCATGCTAGCAAGTATTTTGAAAGTTGCATTCTGCCAGGGACCTAAAGAACTTGTTTTCTTCCAATACATCTTATATTGTTTAAATTCTCATTATCTTGACTGATTAGTTGTTAGGTTAGTGACATATACAGTAAAACTTTAATTAGATTAAAAGTTGGGTCACAAAAAAACATAAGGCCGTGCGTTGAAGGGTAAGATATGGGAATAGATGGGCTTTCAGTTGAAAGTTTTTAAGTTTATTGGCTAATGTATTAGTGTAATCAGAAAGTAAACCGGAATACTAGTATATTTTGTTGTTTCATAAACACAATTGCTTGCAATAATCTGATGTTACTGATGCTCTAGAAAACACCTGATGGTTTAGAACAAGGTTTCAGTTATTCTCAGAGGAGTAGGCAGAGTTAATATTGACGAAAAGCTTAAATGAACCTACCTTTCCTTTTTGTCTTGAAAGAGAATTGAATAGAACTCCTGTTTCTGGTTCCAAAATGAGGTGGTTTTAGAAAGATGCTTTAAATTCAGTGTAGATGAATACTATATATATTTTTAAGTATTTATTTTTGAGTGTGTACATAATCCTAATGTATGAGAATTTTAGAGCTGGGGTACTTGTTTACATTTGTTTTTATTAACTTTTATGATCAAAACTTATTTAAAAAGACACCACGATTTCTGCAAGTGTTAACTTACTAAATAATTTGAAGTTCACTGAACCAAGATATTTTCACAGCAATAGAAAGGAATTCAGAATTAATCTCTATATTCATTTTTATCAAAAGAGTTTCAGACACTATCACCTTTATTTGAAAAATACTGCTATTTAAATATGAACATTCTATACAAAAGACCAAAAAACCTATTTGAGAGAATATGAAGCAAACATTATTACCTGTGTCTTCACAATATTCTGGGCACTTACATGATATAATCCTCACAGCTGCCCTTTGTGATATACATTCTTGTTGGCTGTTTTATATGTTAGGAAATCAATGTTCAAAGAAATTAAAGAATCTTTCCTAGGTCACATGGTTAACATATGACAAAAAGAAGTGTTGTCATTCTCTAAAATGTTTTTCCATCACTACAGCTATGCTTGACCACTTTTAGAACTTCGTGTGTCTCTGAGATAACTTCAATCCTATTGATTAATTCTTGTAAGTTTGCCCGTTAATACATTCCAGTTTCCTAGAATCTGTTCTGTGATTGATTAGCTGAATTAATTTGTTCTTTGTTCTCTGTAGTACATCGTTTTGTATCTTTTATATCACATTTACAAATGACATTATTGATCATACCATCTACAGTTCTAAAGAAGCTTTTCATTATAAAGAATCAGTATGTCAGTGCAGTCATAGGAGGAATACAAGGGCTAAACTATCTTTCAAAGAGTAAGTGATAGGTGGAGTGTGGACAGGAAAATAGGCCCTAAGGCTTAATTGTTGATTCGCTGCATCTGCTGCCCACGAAGGCTTGTGCCCTGAGAAGTGGACAGTTCTGTTATGAGTCCCACATCCAGTTTTTAGCAACATTCTTTCACTAATGCACTGATAGGATTCCTCAGTCTCCTAAATGCCTCTTTGCCCAACTCTGGGAAACTGGCTCACCCCTCTAGAGAGGAGGAAGTAACGGAGCTGGAACCTGGAACTGGAAGAGGACTTCTTAAGGGGTCCAGGGGTAGGTGAGACTCTGCAGCGCCCTCCCAGGCTTCCAGCCTGTCTCTGGGATCTTTCCTTCCTCTCCCTCTCTGCACCTCCTCACTGAAGACACTTGGGCATGGGGAGGGAGACTGTCGCACATGCAGATTTCAGTTTTATTCACAGTTCGTAAGCACAGATGGGAACACATAAAAGACAAGATGCTAAAAGCCTTAAATCCATCTTCAGATTGCCTAGAGAAAAAGCCCTTTCTCTCAAAAAAGAAAATTCATTGCAAAATAAAGCAGGTTACTCAAATTTTCTCTTGTTCTCTGCTTGCTCCTGGCATTAGCCATGTTCTCCAACACTCTCCCCACCTCTCCACCCCCCAGCCCAGCATGAGGCCCCAACAGCATATGTGCACATACGCTGAGACTGGGTGGAGATACGGTGCAAAAGCAAAAAAATCATTTTGGACTGCTTCGGAAAGAGATTTGGAAGTCCCTGCTGTATAATAATTACAAATGAACAAACCAGTCTACCTCCCTTGCCCCTGCCAGCCCTCTTGCTATTGTGTTTCTTTCTTTTTTTTTTTTAAGTCAAATATACCTTTGAAACACAGTTTAGCAGACTTAATAACGCCTTGCTGTCGGGGCATGTGCATTATTTAAAAGGTTCTGCTTTGGAAAAAAAAAAAAAAAAGAAACCCCTTTCTTCCCACTGATTCTAGTTCACGTGCTGGGCCATATTGTCATACCAGATGCATTTCATTTTCTGCAACACAGTTGGGAAAGAGGCTTTCTCAATTTGTGTGCATATCAAAAATGTGCCAATTTTATGTATTCTGTCTTGATGAGTTACTAAAATTATACTTCGCTGGAGTCAGAAAGTCCGTTAAAGAGTGAGGCATGAATATGTTGAGTTTTTTAAGCATTTCAACAAAAGTTTGCAGTGTTTATGAATGTTAATCCTTTACTTTTTTCAAATTCATTTTGTTAAAATTGCTTTCATAGAGGAGTAAAAATTATTTTGAAAAAAGTGAGTAAAATATTCAGGATATGAAATGTTTCAAGATAGGAATGTTTCAAAACACAGTAGGAAGAATATCTGTTCCTTGTGATAAAATTTCTAAATTACATAGGAAAGCTCCAATAAAAAGTGGAAGATACGTCTCTAAGATTAAGTCTAGACGTGAAGTAAATCTGGCTTTATTAATTATCTGATCTTTTAAATAAAGTCTGTATTAAAGACTTAAAAAATATGATTTGGGTAATTTTTGCTATCTATTTTTTAGGTGTCTTTAATCTTACTTAAAATAGCATAACTGAGACTTGGGAAAGACACGAATTTAAAAAATTAATGTAAATAATTAAAACTACTAAAATCTCCCTAATAATCTAAAAAATAAGTTCCTAAAAGGAGTGTTAGCAGCTTTTCCAAAGCTTTTTCAAAGTGAAAGTGTGAGGGTGAGATCTCAGGACATTTTGGAGCAGGATGTACAGTTCAATGTGTGATTGCATTCTTGAAAAATATTGGCATCATCAGGTTATTCCAGAGAAAGGGCTAGATGGAGTGATAGTTTTGCTTTGGAGCAGAATTGTTTCCTGTAACCTTCAATATCAGGTGTATCTGGTGAATTTGTGTAGAGCTATGGATCTTGTGGGCTTCCCTGATAGCTCAGATGGTAAAGAATCTGCCTAGAATGCAGGAGACCAGGGTTTGATCCCTGGGTTGGGAAGACCCCCTGGAAAAAGGAATCCTACCCACTCTAGTATTCTTGCTTGGAGAATCCCACAGACAGAGGAGCCTGGTGGGGTTGCAAAGAGTCTGACTTGTCTGAGTGACTAACACACACACACACACACACACACACACATGGATCTTGTATTTATAAATGCAAGTGTTATCAGGTAGATGTTAATTCAGATGGGCTTGAAACCTGTCTCAATGAAGACTAGCAGTTGTGTGATGTTATTATTTCTGAATGGGTTATTAAAGTTTTGCCACTGCCACCATTGCAAGTAAATGGGTGCTGAAAAAAATCAGCAGGGGCTTTGCTGGTCCTTTGATGTAAATTATTTTCCTTGTAGTGGTGGCAAAGTAGCCTAAAATTAACCCAGACAGTACTGGTGACATCACAGCTTCTTTAAATAGTAATGAAAAAAATCTTATATAACTTTTGGCAAATATGTGCACACTGTCATGAAAAATAATGTGAATAAATACTTTGAGGGATAAAGCAGGAGTAACAGGTTCGTAAAGAAAATAGGACAAATATTCCTCCTTGTTTTCTGTTGCCCCATTGTTTGGAAATAGGGGACGATTTCACAAAATTAAAGGTTAATAATATATATTTGGCACAAGGTAACATGTAGTATGGTTTTTTTCACTTGTATCGATTATCAAAATATTTGCCAACTCTAGACTGATGACAAGTAAAGAGTATGTGTAGATAACATTGGAAGCGTTGACAAAATATTCAGACAGTTAGGGTAATGGATTTTTAAGTTAAATGATAGTTATTTATAGCTTTGTAGCAGACATCTATTTTAGAG